TACAGAATTTAATTAATAACTACATTTCAGTCCAAAGTCTTTTTATTGATTGATTGTTTCGTTTTCTATGGCTTTGAAGGTTATTTAAAGCCAGAAAATAATTTTAGTTTGTAACATTTTTTGTGGTCATAATAAAGATTTAATGATACAAGTCTTACTAGCTCATACCTGGGGAGAGAAGAGGTGGATTCATTCTTTTTTCAAGGGCATTTGTGCGGAAGAGAATATAACGAACCCAAGTGGAATTGGAACACAGCTCTCCGATTAAAAAATCCGAGCCATTATCCATTACACCATCCGTACATCCAAGCTTACAGAACATGGTATTCTCAAACGGACACCCATCTATATACTGACCAGACTCGACGTTGCTTAACTTTTGCGTTTCAACGTATGTCCATAAGCCTCGTTCTTATTAACAGATACATACACCCCTGCGAAAATTAATTGGAACAAAACGAATAATCCCATTATTATTTACGTTTTTTTTTGTATTTTTCCAATGAAACGTGGCCCAGTGCACATATTAGTATATTGTATGTCTATTCCACGAAGTCGTTCCTTGCAGATTGACCACAGATTCTCGATTAGATTTAAAACAGGAGAGTTTCTGGGCCAGTCTAGTAGTTTGATGTGCTCAGAGGTAAGGCTTGCCAGTGTGTTCATGCAACGCTACAATTTTCGTACGCTTCCTTGGAGTAACGTCCATCACAGACAATGGCCGTAGGACAACTAATCGACAGTCGAGATAATATTGTCTGGGTGTGATAAAAATCTGATGCAATCACGGATGACGCAACATGTTTCAAGGCCAAACAAATTTCATCAAATATCCTGAAAATAGATTCATACTACTGCACACCACTGCAAATGACCTATTTTGAGGGAAAAATAGAAATCGATTACAACCTGTCACTCTAGTGGGTCTAAAACTGACCGTATGATGAAAAAGTGGTTGTTTCAATTAATTTACACAACGGTATATATATATATATATATATATATATATATATATATATATATATATATGTGTGTGTGTGTGTGTGTGTGTGTGTGTGTGTGTTTAGACCGGTTGCAACGTTTACGTCATCCAGCTGTTGAGGGCCCACCGTGTGGAAAGGTACTGAACTTAATGGGCCGAAACTTTGTTGAAGCACGGCGCTCAGCTGAAGATTGCAGCTGGTCTGGAGCACTTGATGTGTACTTGTGTTATATATATATGTGTGTGTGTGTGTGTGTGTGTGTGTGTGTGTGTGTGTGTGTGTGTGTGCGTGCGTGTGCGTGTCTGTGGAGGCACGGTGGAGTATTAGTTGGTATCGGCTCGGATAGAGGAATCGCAGAGCCGAGTTCGAATTCCAGTCGAATCCATTACATTCACTTATAATACTCTTGGGAAAGGTATTAATCCGTTTGTTATCCCTGCAGCTATGGATAATTGGCAAGACAAACTGGGTTCTATGGCAACTGATCTAGGTGAAGGACAACTCTGAATTCAAAATCTGCAGAGGGTCGTTTGGGGATCTTGTGGCCCGTAGTACACGAGGTCTCTGTATTCGGCTCTTCAAAAAGTGTGGTTGGTTCTGCAAAAAGCCTTCAGCACTATAATCAAATCAAATCAAAAGCCTTCACCACTATAATCAAATCATATGTGCTGATGTCTGGGCTGTCGGTTCCTAGGAACTGAGTAGCTTGACCCTCATACGTCGAATATAACGGAAGAGTCTACCACATATATATATATATGTGTGTGTGTGTGTGTGTATGTATGTGTGTGTGTGTGTATTGAAAATAAATGAACACATGAATCATGAGAGTGCAAACAAAAATGATGAGAGTTTATAAAAAGAAACAATTTAAACAAGATCATTTAGCACTATTAACAATTATATATATATATATATATATATATATATATATATATATATATATATATATATTATAAGAGATTATAATAAAAACATGTTGAAATCGCTACACAAAAGCTTTCATGTTCCAATAATATGACTGTACTTCCCCGGGCGATGGTTGGTAACTGGTGATAAAAATGTTTATTAGGGAAAGTTAAAAAGAAATCGTTACCTCTTTTCCGAAAGTTAAACGTAGGACATATGGTCAGAATTAAAAATATACTTGTGGGTATGTCTCGATTAATTAATTAAATGTCAGGTCTAAGCTAAATAGAAAAATATGGTCAGAGGGTGGAGGTGAGTGAGTTATTTTTTCATGACACGATAAACCGGTACATTAAAAATTATCGACAAATTTTGTCTATTTATTTTAAGTAAATTCCTTTCATATTGTCTGATAAGCTTAATAACATTATCATTGAAAGATGAAAGAAAATCACCATATTGATACATGTTTTTAATCCTGTCTAAGCTTAATTTCGTTCACTGGGGTAGACGTTCTAGTTCCACGTGCCATGTTTAATGGATGTCAGTTATCAGTTATCTCGACCAGGTGTCCTAAGTCGCGAACGCCTCATTCTCCTCCCCTTTAGTAGCCTTCCAGTTGGATTGGCGGAAGAGGTGAAGACAAAGGTATGTTATAAAAATCTCTTCACCTCATACTCACTACCTTTTGGGCTGACAGCGAAACAAGTTCCTGTCCGTTATTACTATGGTTACCTGACCCTAGCGGAGAGGGTCGTAAAGGAAGGACATTTTCTTCTGTCATTCACCAATTATCTCCACGTTGCTCTTTTCAGTCGAATTCATTTTCGACATAGGTAAATTTATTGTAAATGGATTCTCTAGAAAAACCGAAACAAAATATATTTATACCACGTGATTTTTTCAAATGTAAATTCTTTTTTTTATATGTTACTATCGATTATTTATTACGAATTTCAACAAAAAATATTATAATTTTAAGAAATCACGTTGTATGATCATTTGTTTTGGCTTCCGTAGTGATATCGATTTACAATAAATTTACAGAGCAAACTGGATCCCTATTACCTTTGGTAACATTTATAAAATTGAATAGTTTCTTTTTAGTACTAGTAATCATTTTTCTTTTTTATTGTAAGGTTCTTCTTGTACAAGGCCCGGCGGCCACTCAAGATAGAGGGTTACGTTAAGATGCATTTTATACGGATAAGAGCAGGAAACAATGGCTAACCCTAGACTTGAACAGTTTAAGATTTTAGTGATCGGGGAAACATCCCCTTGGGAGTCGATTCCAGATAGCATTGATTCGCGGGAAGCTGATCGAGTGAAACTGACTCCTCACCGATGGAATCCGGTGGGAATGTGGGTGGTTTGCTACAATATAACTGGCATGGCGGGTCTTAGCTGTGAAAGTTAGACCTAGCAGAACTAAGAATGATTATTTTTAGTTGCATTGCCTATTATACAATTCCAATCCCGCCCCCCCGCAAATTCTAGACTTCTTTAATATATGACCATTCCGATTATGAAGTAAGACCCGAAAAAAAACGAACTCCACTAATCTTCGAGACCTACATGTTAACCATTGCTCCACAGCAAGGCGAATAACATATCGCTTCTTCTTTTATGTGATGTAATATGACGCATATAACTGACCGATTTAGTAATAGTAACGGTAATATTAACCGTTTACTTATAAAGAAACATTCGGTATTCATTGACTGAACAGTTAATATTACAGGCGGTAGATATTTATTAAAAATTTTTCTTGAAGCAGTTTTTCAGTAAAATAAATTTCTCAAGTCCAGTAATTGTTATCACTCTTTCCAGTATTTATGGCGGTTTCCTTCCTAAACTTTTGTTTGAAGTTGTGTGGAACGTCACTATCTTAGTAATGTTATTATTTTCCCTTCAGGCTATCTGTGCTGTCTTAGTTTAGTTTCTAGTTTATTGCTGTTGTCGAAAGTGATGTTTCTGTCATTTAGTAGTTCTTTGCTATACTGATAAACGCATGTTCTCTCAACGAGGCTCATTGCCTTGAATGTCTATTGGAACTCTAGATCACTCAGAACTTCAAGTGGAATCGATCGCTAAAGACATATTCTTTATCAGATCAGTGGTGTTACGAGCTATGTCCTTTCATATTGTCTGATAAGCTTAATAACATTATCATTGATAGACGAAAGGAAATCACCATATTGATACATGTTTTTAATCCTGTCTAAGCTTTCACCTTACATAAGCCATTGTCAAAGATGACAATTACATTTCAATATATCAAATAATACACGGACGAAACAATAATTATAGTCTGTTTTTGTTGCATGAAAAATTTCAAAGAAATGACAAACTCGTGTATACGAGATGCGGAAGCTAAAATCGTGATGTCACACATGACCACGCGAGAGTGAAAATGAGAAGTATTAAGTATGGGAAGCCGTTGGTATAAACCAATGGCTTCTGTTATCAATTATAGGCATTTAAGAAAGCTTAGATTGAATTTAAACATGAATCAATATGGTGATTTTCCTTTCGTCTTTCAATGATAATGTTATTAAGCTTATCAGACAATATGAAAGGAACTAACTTAAAATAAATAGACAAAACTTGTCTATATTATTTAATGAAAATCAATATATATATATATATATATATATATATATATATATATATATATATATATATATATATATATATATATATATATATATATATATATATATATATGCATTGATGTGAGCTCATCAATCCAACTAAATATGTTAGCTCTATCACTGATATTGCGCGCTTTCCAATAAGTACCGTGCATATATAATATATAAATATATAGAAAATTGCATATATATATATATATATATATATATATATATATATATATATATATATATACACACACATTTTGCATATGTGTGTGTGTGTGTGTACGTGTATTTGCTCAAACGTATGTGAATTTAATTCGAAGAAATTGCGCTGCCCAAGCCTGAGAAAGCCTGATGTATTGTGAGTAGAATTAAATGAATTCTCCAAGTTGGTGGGAACCTCCTGTAACGAAACGTATCTATTGATATGCATTGCATACGGAGACGTCATTTGGTATTAACGAGGCACATGATCACAAAAGCGCGCGCGAAAGAATTAAAGGCAAACCGAACAAAATATTTACGCCCCAAGATAGAAGTGGAGTTACACATTACTCCGATATGCACAGCCGTTGAACTTTTATCTAAAGGTCTGCTTCTCCTCACCCTAACGATTAAAAAAATTGTATAGTAGTTATCGGCACGGGGAGTATAATCATCAAACCGAGTTCAAATACCAACCCAGGCCGTTACGTTGACTTTACATTAAGCCCTTCAGGAAATAGTCTCTTTTTTTTTTCATCTTTTGGTTAAACAGCAGAGCAGGGCGTTGATGGGGGCTGCTAGTCTAAGCGAAGAGTAATACATCTTATTAGATGTACAAAATTGAATTACTGCAATAAAAACAAATAAAATAAAAAGGAACAAGAGGAAACTAAAACTGCAGTAGTTGAAAATACGAACAGATAAAAAACTGAAAAGAAGAAATATAGAATAAGCTAACCGGTTATCGCTCCCCATTCGTCTGAACTCGATCGAGGAAATTAAAATATTGTGCACGCCAACTAAAAAAAAGGAAAAAATGAGTAAAGAAAATGCTCACGTGTCAATAATATATTGACACATATATATCTATAGACAGATCAGCACTAAGTCTTAACAACGAATCTCTTTGTCTGGATAAGGATGATTGTCTTGATTTAATATGAAATGTCTCAGGACTTTCAATTGATACTTGGGATATGGTCGACTTGAACTGAGAGCATATCTTCATGGAAGGATAATGCACACGCCAAAGATGTTCTGAAAATTCAGACCCGCAGGTAACGGATCATTTCTGAAAATATTCCAAGCTATTTCACGCTGGTTCATGTTGGGAAATTCTCTTCTCTTGGAGTTGAATGGTCCGAACTACGCAGTGAACTTCCCATTATAGCTAGGTAGGTCACCTTTATGAATTGATTTTAGCATTGGTCGAGACGAGAGCAGGATGCGTGAATAGACAAAAAAATAATATTTTCTGACAGCGGTAAGGATCTGTTTTAAAAAATCTCACGCAAATCCCACCAAGTTATTGCAGTCTAAGGTATACAAAACATTTTTTCAGGGCCAAAAACTTTTGATTTGTGGAACTGTGAAATCTTATCCCTTATGCTAGATTTCACCACATCTTAATAATTTACACTACTCACAAAGAGCATAGGCAAATGTCCATACGACATCCTGTTTATACATTATATTCAAATTCTGTAAATTTTGAGGTAACAGAGACATAGACAGGTATACTCTTGTGCAAATTAATTGAGACAAAACGAATAACTCCGTTATTATTTACTTTTTTCGTATTTTTCCAATGAAACATGACCCAGTGCACATGTCAGTACTTCGTATGTTCATTCCATGAAGCCGTTCTTTGCAGATTGACCACAGATTCTCGACTGGATTTAAATCAAGAGAGTTTCTTACTTAGATTTGCTCAGTGGTAATGCTTGTCAGTGTGTTCGCGTAGCGTTACAACTTTCGTACGCTTCCTTGGAGTAACGTCCATCAGAGGCAGTGGCCATAGGACAACTAATCGACAGTTGAAACAATAGTGTCCGAGCTCGTAGAAGTATTGGATGACAGAATTAAATTTAAAATCATATATGTCATAGCTGGTTTTAAAAATAGGCAAGACATGAATTGATCTCGACATAGATCACGTCGTTTTGGGTGATGAACACAATGTATGAATTGGCCGAAAAATAGCAATGGTTCGGTTAGCGTAACAAATCTCATGCCAACCTTTCCAATCCAGGCAATCTGAAATGTACAGGACATTGTTCGCGACCAAAAATGATTTGTGGAACTGTGCAATCTTAGTACTAATGCTAGATCACATCTTGTTTAGAGGATGGTAATTATCACAAAATTTTTTTTTGATAATAAAAAAAGACCCAGATCAAGTTGAAAATGGAGTCAGTCAGTGAGTTATGTACCATGCGTGATACACGCTTAGGTGATCATGTATCTTTCGATACATGACTGACGAGGCAGTTTTTTTTTCCAGCAGTAGGTTGACATTTCTTTCTGCAGTAGACTAGTTGCCATCTAATGCTATAGAATCTGTCTGTCCTGCTATTTACCTATAGCTAGGGGGAGAGGAAGAGGATTCATACCTTTCCCAAGGGTATTTGCACGTAAGTGAATGTGATGGATTCGACTGGAATTCGAACTCGGCTCTCCGATTCATCAGTTCGAGCCGCTATCCATAACTCCGCTGTGCCTCCTGGACTGCTGCCATATATGGATGGGAGCTGCCTAGTCTTCACTTTCCAGTTCAAAACTGCCTCCGCGTCTTTGTGGGTGAGGAATTGTTTTCCACTCTTCAACCCTTTTCCCACATTGCGTCTTCCATGGAAAGTGTTCAGGTGAATTATATTCCTTAGTTTCACAAATCCTAACGTCCATGACTAGCCACGCCCATTGCAGTGAACCACCCTTAACCGTTATCTTTCCCACATATTTTCGTAAACTGTACATCTTACTCTTTAACCCTATACCTCGAGTAGACTTAGAACTTTGTACAGGGAGGATACAACTGTTCGAACCCTACCAGAAGCTATATTCTCTTTATTAAGACTCTCGAATGCACAGGCCAATTGACATAGATTTAAACTGTTTAAAATAGGGATGCCTACTAAAACACGTGTATCCGCTAAATATAACATAATAAATAATATAATAACGTATTAATAAAAAAATTATAATATAACGTCTTAAATTTAAAGTAATAATAATACGTATATATATATATATATATATATATATATATATATATATATATATATATATATATATATATAACCAGACTACTCGCACATATGATTTCAATATAGTGGTGAAAGCTTGTTCAGAAACAACCACATTTTGGGGAAATGCTGAATACTGAGAACTGGTGCACACAATTTGCCACTAGATCCCAAAACGACTCGCCTCAGATTTTGAATTCAGGGTTGTCCTTTTCCTAGACCGGATGCCAACCAAGACCAAAGAACCCAGTCTGACCTACTATTCATCCATAGCTGAGGAAGGAATAATTCAGAGTTGTCCTTCTCTTAGAACTTTTGCCACCCAAAGCTATAGTACCCAGTCTGTCCTGCTATTTATTCATAACTGGGATGTAGGGAGAATATCCTCCATATACATGCATATATATATATATATATATAATCAGTTCAAAATACGCCTGTTTTTTCATTACTGTATACTTTTGCATCCCATAAATATATATATATATATATATATATATATATATATATATATATATATATATATATATATATATATATATATTACATATATATATATATATATATATATATATATATGGGATGCAAAAAGTAGGTATACAGTAATGAAAAACAAGCGTATTTTGAATTGATTATATATATATATCAATAGTAAACATATCAATAATAAACCTTCAAATATTCAAATTGTTTGCCCCCATCGTTCACACACAATCCCCTTTATCTACAAACAATATTATTATTATTATTATTATTATTATTATTATGTGTTGTTTTTTTCTGTTCCTCTTGACTTCAATCAGTCCTGTGAGTATCAAATTTTCTAGGTCCTCTTTCCTCATTATGTGCCTTAGAAATTTCAACTGTCTTTCAGACGTTAAGTTTAAGTGTCCTATCTGTTTCAATTTTCTCTAAATCTTCGTCCTTGTTGACATGTTTGGTCCATGGTATTCTCAGCATCCTTCTGTAGAACCACATTTCTGTTGCTTCAAGTCTTCTTCATCTGTTAGAAAATTGTCGAGCATTCACTGCCATACAGTAGGATTGAGATTATGTGACAATTTAGTACCCTTTTCTTTGTTCTAAACCATTTTTTCTGTTCCTTAATATTTTGCTTAGATTTTGGAAGGCATCTTTCGCTATCCCAATATACCTTTGGATTTCAGTGTCGCAATTTTCGCCCTTTGTTAAAACACTTCCCAGATATTTATTTTTTGCAGCATAGATTTCTTGCAGCAGTTGTTTGGCCGTTGTAGCTTTCGAAATATAAGTGTTATCTTTGCTATAAAGTGTCAATCAGTCATGTGCCATGCGTGATATACGCTTAGGTGATCTTTCGATACATGACTGACGAGGAAGATTTTTTTTCCGCAGTAGGTTACCATTTCTTTCCGCGTAAGACCAATCGCCATCCAAGGCTACAGAACCCGGCCTGCCCTGCTATTTACCCATAGCTGGGGGAGAAGAAGAAGATTCATAACTTTCCCAAGGGTATTAGCACGAAAGTGAATTGATTCGACTGGAATTCGAACTCGGCTCTCCGATTCCTTAGTCCGAGCCGCTATTCATTAGTCCACCGTAAGTGTTAGAAATTTGTGGTATCATCGTGAAAACATTACTAATTATTTCTTCTTCTTTCTTCCAGATAAATATCGTGACAACAAGTTGTCGTTCGATGAATCCAGCCGCCTTTTTCTTGGAAGTCTCATTCGTGGTGATCACCTGCAAGGTGACGACCCGCAGCATCGGAAGGACGCCAGATCGGAGCGAAAGAAGCTGTCAAATTCTTACCTGACCAAGCAATACGTTTGGCCGAAACGTCTGCTTCTGACCGTTCTTGATGATAGTCTCTGCGTCCGCGGGACCAGCTTAGGCATCAAGACTAAATTTATGGTACTAAGTTTGCTGGAGTCGCTGTGTGGCACAACCTACGATAAAAATGCGCCGACTGTCGGTTTACAAACCTTTTCTGTGGACAGCAAGCTGGTGTTGCCGTTGCAAAGACCGGAAACGAAGAGAAAATTGCGCCATTCTGTACTGGCTTATACAACCGAACCCGTGAGGCATTTACAGCTTGATAGAGCATTGGAACGTACCATGTCTATTCTCAACGGAACAAGTTAGTAATATTTCGTGGGCAAACAGATAAACGTGCTCGAAATAAGACGGAATCTCAAAAGGACGGTTTTTCCCATGACACCGTTTTTATTTTAACTACCTTCACTCTTCGGCAATGTTTATTGTTTTAAAAAGCAGTGATTAGAAGTGAAAGACCTAAACTTATGAAAGTGAATTTATACAGTTTCTTTGTTCTTGAGAATTGGCAACAAAAATAATAAACGCTATATATTTATTAAATTGTTTATTTCCACTATTTATTGAATGGTTGGCAAAATATTGGCTAATTGCCATTTAATTCAAACTTTATAAAATGGTAAATAATAAGGATTTCCTTTATAGTTAGTTCACATATTTTAAGAATTTAGTAAATGTTTATAAATTTATGAATAAAAAATCGTTTTCATATTTATTTCTTTATAAATTGGTAAATGATAAATATTGCATTGCATCAATTTTACTTGTAGAATGTTGTAAATATAAAATTATTCTGGTAAATAGACAACCTAATAAATAAATAAATAAAGAGTGTTTAATTTTTTAATTTAATGAGTGTCAAAAAGATGTTTTTTCTCCAATGATACCACATTTATTTTAACAACTCTCAATCTTTGGCAATGTTTATTTGTTTTAAAAAGCGATGATTAGAATTGTAATAAAACCTAAACATATAAAAGTGAATTTATAAATTTACTTTGTTCTTGAGAATTCACAACAAAAATAATAAACATTGTTTATTTATTAGATTTTTTATTTACATTCTTTATTTACTAAATTGTTGATTGGAATGGTTGGCCAAATATTGGATAATTGCCAATTAATTCAAACTTTATAAAATGGTAAATAATAAGGATTTCCTTTATAGTTCACATATTTCAATAATTTAGTAAATGTTTACGGTTTGGTTTGTATTGTTTTACGGTATATATCAACCACAATGGGTTATTTAATACTGGTAATACTTATTGCTGGTAATACTTATTGCTGGCAATAATTTTTGTTCCAAAAAAAATTGCTAGTCATAATGTATTGCTGGTAATAAATTTTTTCTTCAAAAATGTATTGCTGGTATTAAAACCTATTTTATATGTTTTGACCCCAGTTTGCGGGTTTAGCTATTTACCCATAGCTGGAACCCTAACAGGTGCTACCACCCCGAGTCAGGGTGGACCTGGAAACACCAGCAATTAAGAGGTTTTTCGCGCTCCTCAAAACCTCCTGATCAGAGGCCTTGCTGTCGGATGTAGTTTATCGTCTTACCCAGGACGTGTAAATGTTTAAATAAAAAATTGTTTTTAAATTTATTTATTTATAAATTGTTAAATGATAAATATTTCACTTAGTTGTAAATGTATTAGTTTTCAGAATGTTATAAATATAAAATTTGTCTTGTAAATAAACAACCTAATAAATAGTGTTTAATATATTTGCTGTAAATTCTCAAGAACAAAAAAATGTATAAATTCACTTTCATCGTGTTTAGCTTTTATTCCAATTCTAATCCTCGCTTTTTCAAAAAATGAACTTTGTTGAAGAGTAAAATGGTGCAGCCACTTGTATCCGAGGATACCCACCTACTAGGGCGGCTAGCTAATCCCTATTGCAGACGCCGGCTCAGGCACATTTGTAGTTTATACTGCAACTATGCTGAGCAGGCCTTAGTTACTGTTTCTGGAAGAGTGCGCGTTATCTAGCGTGATCAGCAGTCTGAACATGGCCAGCACGCACAAACCCTCGGTCACGATGACTTACGGCTTCGTGCTAGCACAACCATCGACGTCTCCCAAATGTGTCTCTAAAGGTGCCGCATGCTGGGATCGCCTCCTTCAGACCGATGACATCAAGAAGTCACTTTCCTGACAAATTAACCGTGGTGAGATTCGAACCCGCGTAGTCAGAAAGTGAACGTTCTAACCATTCGGCCATGTGCCCATAAAAGTGAAGATATGTAAAAAGAAAAAAAGCGATGTGAAAAAACAAGTGTCCTTTTGAAAATACGTCTTATTGCGAGAATGTTTATCCATGTTTGCCATTTTGTGTTTGTAATATAAACAGATTGTAGATATATTGACTTAATGAGTTTAGTGTTTAAAGGGGAGTAATTCATTGAATGACGTTCTAGGTGCGCATGACGCTGTTCAGTGATCCCTCTATGAATATAAGTAGCAATAAATGTAACTTCTGACTGTACCCACTATGATTCTAGAATTTGTGCTGTGTGGGAATACACTCTGGAATACGTCGCACTCCAGGTTCACCAAATGCCTTCTTTTTTTTCATTAGTGAAAATAATAATCAATAATGAAAAAAAGATGACATTTGATGAACCTTGAGTGCGACATATTCCAGAGTCTATTAAATCAAATCACGAAAACTTTTCCAATTAGTCATTCTACAACTATGGCCACAGAATTTTCTGTATTTACTAATATGATTCCAAACTATCAACAGTATTTTGGGGAAAAGATATGTAAATTTTTATATACCAAAAACAATTTTAGAGAAAACTATTGGAAAATCTGATAGACACAGGACAGATTGAAGGCAAGAGAGACAGGTGAAAACAACGTATAGCTTATTGCAAGCAAATAGATGACGGAGCAAGATTTAGGAGAAATAACAAAAAGACAAATTTTTTTAAGAGTTACGAAAGGCAGGAATTTTGGGAGAGCCATGATCGCCTACGTCCTGAAAGGACACGGCCCATAACAGGAGAAAATGACGAAGTGGGAAAAAGTTTTCGTGAGACCCGTTTCGTTCTTTAAAACTGAATCCGATTAAAGTGATGTATACATTGATGCGACCACGCATGCGCACGAACGGTAGGGGAGGATGGGAATTTTTAATGCATGAAAATTGAACAGAATTTATCTAAATTTAACATAAATCTTATTACAACTACTTCTAATGTACTAATAAAAACTTAATACAAAACAAAATAATGAGCTAATAACTTGAAGAAGGGATTTACTCTATCACCTGTAATAACTGCCGCAATACATAGGTGAAACCTCAAGAAATTTAAATGAAAGATTATATACACACACTCAATGCATTAATCTATCTTAATCTGTTCATATCTATCTTAGTATGTTTATATCTATCTATCTATATATCTATCTACCAATAATTGTTAATATCTATCTATATATCTATCTTAGTCTTTTCATATATATATCTATGTTTATGTCTATCCATCTATCTATCTTTGTTCATATTTATCTAAGTCTGTTCATATCTATCTATATTAGTCTGTTCATATCTATTTCAGAATGTTTATATCTTTGTTCATGTTTATCCATCTATCTTAATCTGTTCATATCTATCTATCTATCTATCTATCTATCTTAGTCTGTTTATACCTATCTATCTCAGTATATTTATATCTATCTATTTTATATATCAATAACAATTGCGTTCTTTAAGACTTCATTCGATTAAAGTAATTCTTACGTTGATGCGACTATACATGCGCACGAAGGAGAAGGGACGCTGAGAATTTCAAATTTAAATTAATTTTTGTCTTTTTAGATATATGTTTTGGATTATAATCTACCTGATTTAATTTAGTTTCTTTTTCTTTGTGTTCATATTTCCATCACTTTTGTTATTAAATATTGCACATTTTGATAATAGATCTGTCAAGAACGGTGAAATCGTGTAAGAACCTGGACATAAATTTACTGTGAATGATCTAGAAATTAAAGCATTTTCTAAACATTTTCGTCTGAGTAAATTGCTTTCTCATTTAATTAGTGAAGCATTTTTAAATCAAAATTGTGGCCAGACTCATTACGGTAAACAACTAATTCATTGAATGTGTTGTTTTGTAAAAGATACATTTTGTATTCATATAATCTTTGATCAAAATTCCTTGAGGTTTCTCCTGTATATTCTTTGTGACAATTATTACAGGTAATAGAGTAAATTCTCCTTCATGTTTTAGCTTATTATTTTGGTTTGTATTAATTAAGTCTTTTATTGTTTTAGAAGTAGTTGTGACAATTTTTATGTTAAACTTAGATAAATTAAGTTATGGGTAAAATAATATATTTTGATTCCTTGGGTTTGTCAGGAAGGCCGGATTTTTTAATTTGAAATATATTGTCTCTCGTTGAATAAGAAATAATTAGGGTATTGAAGAAGCTTAAAAATATTTTCTATGTATTTCCTCTCTTAATGTAAATATTGAAGGCGAAAGATTCTGAGTGCTCTGAAATAGAATTGGATGATTATTTTAAATTTTATTTTGTTGTTATGGTGAGAATAGAAATTTATGAGGTCATCTTATTAATGTTTATATTAGTGCTTATAAATTTCAAAACGTTTTAATTTTTTTAGCAAGAAGTTCATTTGCAATGTCTATCTAATGCCGAACTTGCTATTATCTTGTTAATGTGTTTAATTTATAGTATGTGCAATGATTGCCATAAACATTAACTAGTGTTGTTATTAAGTATAAGTTATTAAGTGTTGTTATTAAACGTACGTCGTTGTGAGGTAAACGTTTATAGCAGCCTGGTAGTCACTGTTCATAATATAAATGTAAACACAAGAACAGTGTACATCTATTTTTATATTGTAAAACTATGTCTACCGGTTTGTGCATTCGAAAGTCTTAATAAAGAGAATATACCTTCTGGCAGGGTTCGAACTTGTGTCCTCATTGTAGGGGAAAACATCGTCAAGTCTGGTATGTTTTTTAACCCCTCAACCACGGAGGACCTCACAGTCAAGCAAATTTCAGTTAACCTATTTTAAGAAATGTACATCTTTTTTCGGGTCTCTCGAAGTCCAGACTTGCTAACTTTTATTTTCGTATACGAAGCATAAAAAAATAACTTCTAAGGACTTAACGGGTTTTATTTATAATCCGCCATTATTTCTTATTACTTGAAATGTTATATTTAGTAGAAACACGTGTCTTATTCGGCATCCTTGCGTTTTAAAAGGTACATTACTAAGACTTTCGGATGCACAGGCTGGTAGACATAGATTTAAACTACGGTAACCATAGCAGCAACACTAAAAGTAAAAAAGGGGTTCTCTCTTTCTCACTCTTCATATCTCTCTCTCTCTCTCTCTCTCTCTCTCTCTCTCTCTCTCTCTCTCTCTCTCTCTCTCAAAATGTTGACAGTTGAAAATAGATGATCATTTTCAAATATGGTAACTAGTCTAGGAGAAGGATAACTCCGGGTTAATAACACCATCGGGTGTAGGACTGGCAACCCCACCGCGTAAAAAAACTACTTGCTACGGAAACCGTAGAAGCAACACTAAAAGTAAAGGATCTCTCTCTCTCTCTCTCTCTCTCTCTCTCTATCTATCTATTTATCTCTTCCTCTCTCTCCTTCCCCTCTCTCTCTATCTATCTCTTTCTCTCTCTCCTTCCCCCCTCTCTCTCTCTCTTGCTCTCTCTCTCCCTTTCTCTCTCTCTCTCTCTATCTCTTTCTCTCTCTCTCTATCTATCTATCTCTTTCTCTCTCTCTCTCTATCTATCTATCTCTTTCTCTCTCTCCTTCCCTCTCTCTCTCTCTCTCTCTCTCGCTCTCTTTCTCTCTCTTTCAAAATGTTGACAGTTTAAAATAGATGATCATTTTCACATAAGGTATGATTCAATAATTGAATATTTCAAAATCATTTGGAGCAAAAGCCCCATTTAAGCATTCGGCGGGAACTAAATTGAAGTCCTGACCGTATGGCTGAATTTCAATTCCTGCATATAATTTGATTACACAGTGGATAGTGTGTCTTTGTCGCTGAGTACTGAATGTCATTTACTACGTGTCACAGTATTTAGCTTGACGTTTCTGCAGTTTTCAGTGCATTCGTTCAGGTCACTTCAACCGTCTATCTGATGTCTAGAGTTGACACCCAACACTTGTCCCCTAATGGCTTCTCTCCGGGCCTCGGGCTAGTCTCTTCCATTGCCTGAAATATCTTCTGAAACACTTTCTTTTTAAAGTAAATTAATTTTTGTCTCTTTCTCTCTCTCTCTCTCTCTCTATATATATATATATATATATATATATATATATAGTGAGAGAGAGCGATACAGAGAGAGAGAGAGAAGCGACCTCCTTCACGATATGGCAAAAGTTAGCTTACTATATATATATATATATATATATATATATATATGTGTGTGTGTGTGTGTGTGTGTGTATGTATAAACGGGAGAGGTTAGAGTAGTTTCAACGACAGAAAAGTGTGTATATTAAAAAAAGAGAGAAACCGCAAACGTTTTTGGTTGTAATGTGGATTTTTTAAAAAATATTATGCTTTATTTTCCATAATTTTAATAATTATGGAAAATAAAAGCATTTTTTTTTTTAAATACACATTACAACCAAAAACGTTTATGGTTCTCTTCTTTAATATATATATATATATATATATATATATATATATATATATATATATATATATATAAAACTAATTTTTGCCATGTAGTGAAGGGAGGTCCCTTCTCTCTCTCTCTCTCTCTCTCTCTCTCTCTCTCTCACTCACTCACTCACTAACTATGTATATATATATATTCGTGTATTTAGTTCTATTCCAATTAATTTAAAACCTATAGTTAAAAATAATAATTCACCTCCTAGAAAAAAATTAAACAGGGCAAATATTATTTATGAATTTAAATGCCCATTAAGGAATTGTATTCTTGATCAATCAAAATTTGTAAATAATTATATAGGCCACACTACAACATGTTTGACACGAAGACTCACACTACACCTTTCTGACAATAATTCAATTAGATCTCATTTAAATATTCATACCAGACCCTATTTGTAACATACTTGTTGACAACACTAATATAATAGCATCATCTACATGCAAAAAAAAGGCTAAAAATAATGGAAGCCTTATTAATAAAAACAAAGAAACCAACACTTAATAATATTAACTTTGAACATGGACATAATATCTTGACCGTGTTTTGAAAAATGAAAACATTTTATAAAACATACATACAACAAACTATTTCTTATTTTAACAGTTTAAATATAATCCTTGCACTCGGATAAAAAGAACATTCGAACAGTTTTTATATAATTCATCATCCGAAAAGAAAAAAATTATTAGATCGCATGAGAAATTGTATATAAAACTAAATAAAAGCACCTTGTCTGTCGTTTTCAATGAAATGTGCATATATATATATATATATATATATATATATATATATATATATATAGAGAGAGAGAGAGAGAGAGAGATGAAACCTTCCTTCATTACATGGTAAAAATTAGCTTACTATGTGTGTGTGTGGCATGAGTTTCCGGAGAAAACGAACAATTAATTTATAAATTGCACTGAATGACACCGAGATATATAGCGACTTTGAAGTAAACCTCAGATTTTTTTAGAATTCAGTTCCATTATAGTTGTACAGATGTGCTTTTTTACAGAAAAACAGTATACCGAAAATAGTATCTTCCTTTTAACAGCCTATGGGCTGACGGCTCGTTTCAAACTCATGTTCATATATATATATATATATATATATATATATAGTAATTATTAGGAGGATTTGATAATTATATTTAATTAATTCATCGAGTCTGACAGAAACCTCAACAGAATGCAGAAAGCACTGGACGGCCGTTTCGTCCTATATTTGGGACTCATCAGCAGTACGCATCCACTACCGAGAATTGAAACCCGAATTGACAGTTAGGTTGTCAAGCAAACATCATACCAACTGTTCTAATGGGCCTATCAGATCCGATGAGTTAATTAAATATAATTATAAAATCCTCCTAATAATTACTATCTGTGTATATCATTGCTTGAACCGGCTTCTAGAGTGAGCGGCTTTGTGAGAGTAGTCATGGCTCCAGGGGGCACAGTCCTATGGTTACAAAGAACTCAGTATGGTTCCACCACGGAATATGTGAGCGAGCGGCGCTATATTGAGTCTGATTTGGAATCTCTTCGTCACCGAGGCCCATTGGATCAGTTGGTATGATGTTTGCTTGACAACCTAATTGTCAGGGTTTCAATTCTCGGTAGTGGATGCGCACTGCTGATGAGTCCCAAATATAGGACGAAACGGCCGTCCAGTGCTTTCTGCATTCTGTTGAGGTTTCTATCAGACTCGATGAATTATATATATATATATATATATATATATGAAGAAATATTGTTTTAAGGTGTGCTATATGTATGGGATAAAATGATCAATATCAGAGATAGAGCGTATCTAAATATAAATATTGAAGTCAACACTCAGCAGCTACAGGCTGTTTCATGCTGGACGCAATCGTCAGGCGTCCTGACGATTGCGTCCAGCATGAAACAGTTAATCTGATTTAAATTTCAAGTTTATCCAGCAAGTTCTA